CAGTAGTCTCCATTTGTTGGAAAAGGAAGTTTCTTTGATTGGTGGTTTACAGTATAATTGTCTGTAAATACAAGGATCCATGTTTAGAATATGGTAAGAAATTTCCTTTGCCTAGAGATATGACAGAAATACGGTTTTCTGTAGGATCTATGACCTTTCTAGCCATGTGTATTTGTGTTTACAGTTCCACCTGTGAGTTCACTCCCATTGAGAGGGTTTTAAGCCCAATTAGATTGCTGTTGATTACCCCAAAGACACAAAAGTGCCACTACCACAGCAGTAGAGGTAGTTTACCCTGCTGGTCATTAAGGTATTAGGATTTAGAGCTAGGGTTGGACCACTGATTGATTTTTTTTTTCCCTTAGAAGATTGCATATTATCCTCCAGACCTATGGAAGTTAAACTTCAGGTAGAAGGCTTCCAAGTCACTTTTTGCTACATTGCTCCAAGCTTGTGACTGAAGTATATCCCACCTTCATCAGTAGGACCTTATCTTCCAATTCTGGGAGATAATTAAGATCTCTGGCCTGTGTTATTTTGGGACAAAAGGGGAAACATCACAAGTGCTATTAAAAAATCCAAAAGATTATAAGGGACTACTTTAAAATTTTTTATGCCATTAAATTCAAAATTCTAAAAGAAATGATTGAATTTCTGAAGTCATGGACACCACCAAAGTTAAATCAAGAAGAGATCAACAGATTAAACAGACCCATTGTAAGTAAGGAATATGGAACAGCAATAGAAAACTTCATAACTAAATAAAATATCTCTGACTAATACTGCTTAAAGTACTCACAAAGATAGAAACAGATGGAGAACTCCCAAACTTCTCCTAGGAAGCCAGTATCACCCTAATATCAAAACTAGGTAAAGACACAACAACAAAAACAGAAAACTATAGGCCCATATCCTTAATGGACATAGATGCAAAGATACTCAACAAAATACTCATGAACTACATTCAGAAACACATCAAAAATATCATCCACCATGATCAAGTTGGCTTTATTCTAGAGATGCATGGATGGTTCAATACATGTAAATCAATAATTTAATAAAACATATGAATGGACTTAAATAGATTCAGAAAAAGTCTTTGACAAAATCCAACATTCATTCATGCTAAATATTGTAAGGAACTGGTCTTGAGGGAACACACCTCAACATAATTAAAGTTATATATAACAAACCCATAGTCAACATCACCTAAATGGAGAAAAACTAGAAGCATTCCCATTAAAATCAGGAAACAGACAGGGCTGTCCACTATCTCCACTCCTTTTCGATATAGTGTTTGAAACTCTTGCAAGAGGAATAAGACAAGGGAAGGAAATTAAGAGTACTAATTGGAAAGAAGATGTCACATTATCACTATTGGCAGATGATATATTGTATGTAAGAGATTCCAAAAATTCCACCAGAAAACTGTTAGAAATGATCAATACCTCCATATTTTTAATATTATTCATTATATCCTTGTGGTATAGCAACTTAATAGTAAGGAGACAAAAACACTTTTTTAGATATGATCAAACACTTTGAACATATACTTCTCAAGAGAAAATCTATAGATGACCAAAAATTATGTAAAATGCTAAAAATCACTATTATTACAGAAATTAAAGTTATTACCTTATACATAATTAAACTAAAATACTAAAGAGATAGTTGCTCTTCCTTTTATATTTATTATTTTTATTTTATGTTCATGAATGTATTACCTGAATGTACGTAAGTGCACCCATGTCATGCAATGCCTGGAGATTTCAGAAGAGGGCATCAGATTCCCTGGAACTGGAGTTACAGACAGTTGTTAGTTGCCAGGTGGGTTCTGGGAACCAAACTCAGGTTCTCTTCAAGAGCCTCCAGTGCTCTGAACCACGGAACCATCTCTACAGCTCTTATAGTTGCACTTTTATTGTTATTTAAGTATTTTTCACACTAGTCCAAAGTGAAATCACCCTATTTGTCTATTAACAAATGGTTAAAGAAAATAGACAATGGAATACCATTTCATCTTTAAAAGGAGAATTCATTTATAATTTAATTTTCTAGTTGGTATATTCATGATAATTTTTAAAATTGTATACTGCACTACAAGAAATAAAATTACACCTCAACCTCTTTCCAATTTTTCTACCTTTTACTTCTCTGCCTTATTGAATTTCTTAGAATTTAAACTACAGTGTTGACTAGAAATTGTGAGTGTGTGTGTGTGTCTGTGTGTGTGTACAAGTCTTTCTCTCTCTCTCTCTCTCTCTCTCTCTCTCTCTCTCTCTCCTACTATCCTATCCTGAGAAAGACTCTCTAACTGAGCTGGAAGCTCATCCATGTCCATTCAGCTAGGCTGGATGCTCAGGGAGCTCATGGAATCTGCCTGTCTCTGGTCCTGCCATAATTCAATTGAAGGTACATGCAACCAACCCTGACTTTTTCAATGAGTTCTTAGGATTCACATTCAAGACCTCATGCTCACAGAGCAAGTGTTCTTACCCACAAAGACATTTCCCTAGTCCTTAAATGGAAATTTTAGATAAAAAATCTTTGCTCTTTAAGGATAAACAGTATTTCATCAGTAAATTTAATGTTAACCAGATAATTCAATTTGATCTTCATCAAAATAATCTTTTCTCTGATTATCAAGTGGTTGAAAGTTAAAGGGATGTTGGACCCCCAGACTGGGGTACCCAACATTCACGGGAGGCCTCACTCCAATAACTCAGTCTCCAGACCAGGAGATGCAATAAGCAAGAGGATTTTATTACATCTGCGCAGACGGGCTCCTGCCTCACTCAGAAAGGAGAAGCCCCGAGCTCAGCTTACAGGCTGCTTATAAAGGCAAAAACCACAAACCACAAGTGATTCCTAAGCTAAGAAAAGCAGAAGTAGGAGGGGGATTTCTCGGGTGATTTCCAGCTTGGGCAAGGAACATGACAAGGTCAGCTCTTTCTCAGCAGTAGGAATTTGTTTTTCATTTTTACTTCCTTGTACAATTTTTCTCAGGCCTGGGGGACTTAGTTTGAATCCATCATTCTGGGGGACTTGATTTGAATCCATCATTCCCCCCTTTTCTTATGGTGAGATTTTAATCCTAAAATCTATAGATCTTTTGTTCTTTTTGAAGCATGATATTGCTGAGTAAGGACCAAAGCCTGAGTTACTGATAATCGATCCCTGATAAATTGTAACAGTTTGTTGAGGATGCATGGCCCAAAGGTTAGAAGAAGGAGAAAAATAACTAGGGAACATATTAGGGTGGACACTAGGGTAGTTAGCCATGGGGTTTTATTAAACCACCCTTCAAACCGTCCCTGTTTGGATTCATGGTCCTTTTGTCTTTTATCTAACCTCTGGCGGAGTTTAGTCATAGAATTTCTAACAACCCCCGAGTTGTCAGCATAGAAACAGCATTCTTCGCCTAGAGCTGCACAGAGTCCTCCTTTCTTGAGGAAAAGCAGATCTAGCCCCCTTCTATTCTGTAATACTACTTCTGAGAGGGAGGTCAGGGACTTCTCTAGGTGGGTAACTGACTGCTCTATTTCCCTAATATCCTCATCTACAGCCATCTATAAATCTGCATAATACTGTGGTCCTTGTATTAGGGCTGCTGTTCCAGTTCCTACTCCCGGAGCCACCCCCACTCCCAGAAGTATTGCTAGAGTCAGGGACACAGGCTCTCTTTTGTACCTGTGTGGTTGTTGTTTTTGTTCAAAGAACTGTTCTACAGAATCTGTGGGGTGATAGAATACTCAGGGAAGGAGCTTAATCAGGACACAGTAATCTTGAGAGATTTTAAGGACCATACTAGCTACACAGGGCGTTAACCCAGAGTTACATGCCCACCAAGCCCCTTGTGGGGGTAGGACCTAGTAATT